TGAAAGTTCCTAGGTACTTCACATGGGTCCTCCTTCTAGAGGCTTGAATTTTTATTTTTTCTTTGAATCTATTCCCACCAAAATTATAAATAATAATAATAATAATAATAATAATAATAAAGAATATAAAAGAAAGTAGTTGAAAGTGAAAATGCCGTTTCAAAACATATCACTAAGAAAATGCATACTCCTTTAATCCTCAGCATTTGTACAATTCGTCAAATGAAAATACTAAGAAAAAGGAACATAGATCATCACCAATCCAGACAGCTCAGAAGTCGGGCATCTTATGTTAATATCAAAGGCAAAAGGTGTTGTGTGGTCTAGATTGCACAATACTAACTATTGGATGAGGGTTAAGCTCTTGATATTGAAGTCTTCTTCTATCCAATGGTTCTTGTTTTACAGCCCAGTCTAGTTTGAATTGCAAAATAGGGTCCTCATATCAAAGAAACCCCTAACAAACAAGAGATAAGAAAAAAAGAGCCTGTGCTTTTAACATACCCAAAAGCCATCCTCAATACTCATTGAGTGCAGCAATGAATAATATAATTAGATATCTTTGAGAATCTAATCTACTTTTATATTGCAGCTAACTAAGCAACAAACTTAGTTGGACTTAAATTAACAACCAAATGTTTTGATTCAGCAAATGTGAGAAAATAATTAACCCTAGTAGTGGCTCGTGTGGCTAACATATGGGTGTTTCACTTACACAACCAAGGTTCAATATCCCTTGTCCCCTACTCTCCTTCCCCTTTTTCGAATTTCATATTTGTGAACAATTATGGCAATGAAAACTAGATATGGAGGATTAATCATAAGCTCAACGACTTGAAGCGTTGTTTCAGTGATAGTTAGGAGTGTAATTATGTTGAAAGAGCAAATTGAATGGACTGAATTAAGTATTGAAAAGAACAACTTTCTACCTGATTGCAGCCTTGCAAGACTAATATATAGCAGCCTCTATTTCTGAGCAATAATGCAAGTCCAGATCAAGGACTTCTCTTCTAACTATCATCTTCTTAGCATTTACACGGTAATATTGCACAGTCAAAGTCAAATTTCAAGCGTTCATAGATTGCTACTTTCTGCACATATTCAAGCATGGAAAAAATTGTTAACAACTAAATTGAAAGAGACTGAATTTAAAAGCATAGAAAACTATCAAGCGCCTTCACACCTCCCACTTATCATTTTAGCTCGAATTGCATATCTTCAGCTCTTCTTCCTTAACAACATGCAAACAGTATTAAAATTGGTTAGAGGCCCTCCAGTTGTGTACAAGAAGCATCTTGGATCTCTTATTGCATTCTCCAAATGTCACATCGTTTTTACTTAGAATATTATTTTGTTGAACTCACTCTAATATTTGAAAGGTTGATGAGAGGCGAAAATAAAAAATTATAAATTTAAGTTATATTATATGTAAGTAGGGTAAGATTAAGAAATAGGAGTATTACTTTTTATTATATAACCTACGAGAAAAAAAAACTCATGAGGGATTCTTCAAGAGTGATTTCAACATTATTTTATTTAAACATATTTTTAAATAAATAAATAACCAAAAGAATGGCGTAGAGTGGCCCCAGCTCTCAGCACCCAAATAAGTAGTTGTATGTTGTATTGCAAACTTTTCGAAGTTAAAGTAAAGCATTTTTCTAAAACACAGCGTATTTTTTTATATTTATTTCTATTGAAAAAATATAAGTTATTTTATTTAATTAATTATCTAATTAAAAATATTTATATGATATCAGTAGTGAGATTGATGTTAATATTTATAATTTTTAATATTAATTAATATAAAAAATATATTAATTATATATTTAACCTATTCTCTAACAATATATTTAGTTTGAAGAGACCTCCTCTTTCTTACCTTTTCTTCATTTGCATAAATAAATGAATTCAAAAGTAAAAAAATAACATTTTTCTCCTTTCTTGATCTCCTCTTTATTCTCTTCAACCTAAATATATCTTGAGGACACAACTTAAAACTCCTAAAATGATCTACAAGTTCAAAGTAAATAACTTTTATAACAGAACTTTTTTTTTTTTAAGCTTAAAAGTCAAGGTGTTATTGGGTTACACATACTTCAAAACTAATTTTTTCTTGAATCAATCAACTTTTATACTTCTTCTATTTTAAAATATAATACATTTGTCTTTTTTTTTTTTACACATTTTTAAGTCACATTTTTTATAGTCTATAAATAATAATTAATTTTTTTTAATCACTCAACAAGATGTATAAGAAAAAAAAATTAATTATCATTTTTATATTATAAAAAAATTATCTAAAATAATGTAAAAAAAAAGACAAACAATTTATATTTTGAAACAAATGGAATAATAAATAACCATTAATATTAATCACTACACCAACTGGAGGATGAGTGAGGGATAAAGTTGCATTTGAACGTCTTAATAATGGGATATGAAGGAAAAAAATATACATTGTAAAAGCAGCAAAAACCTACTTTTAGCCTTTATTTTACTAGATTTGTAGGTTTTAGCCTCTCAACTTATATTATGACACTGTTAAGCCTTCACCTATTAAAATTAAAGAAAATAACTTTCACTTATAATATTTTGTTAATTCTGTTAGCTGACTGTTAACTCTATTAGCTGACTATTAGCTAATTGTTAGCTGACAAAATCTACTTTTAGCTAATAAAGTTAACAGTCAGTTAATAGAATTATTTCGTTAGCTGACTTTAACTCTATAATTGGTTGACTGTTAGTTAGTTATTAGTTGGCAAAAATCTCTTTTCAGCTAACAGAATTAACAGTCAGTTAACAAAGTTAACAATCAATTAACAGAATTAACAAAATATTACAAAGTGAGGGTTATTTTCTTCAATTCTAATAGGTGAGGGGTTAAAAAGGGTTATAGTATAAGGTGAGGGGTTAAAAGGGGTTATAGTATAGGTGAGTGGTTAAAACCTACAAATCTAGTAAGGTAAAGAGCTCAAAGTAAGTTTTTACCATAGAAAGCAAACGTAGAGATGTTTCCCCACCTACCCTAAGAATGATTTTATTTATTTATTTACCTCAATGCCATTTGAATATAAATAATTCCAAAGCGAGTCATCCTATTCAAATGTTTCAACACCAGCAAGTGACAATAGCAGCATACATCATAAATATAATTGAAAAAAAATGGAGATGGCACGAGCAAGAGGTGCGGCGGCTAGAGACGACAGCGATTCCAGACGGCGGCAGGCTTACAGGCGACGGCAGGCTTACAGGCGACGGCAGGTTAAGGATGGGTCCGATAATCTGGTTCCAGGGAAGGCATTTTTCGTCAACAATTTTCCAGAGACATGTTGCGCAAAGGATTTATGGTATCATTTCCAGAAGTATGGGCGTGTAATGGATGTCTCTGTGCTTGGGAGAAGAGATAAGTGGGGGAAACGGTTTGGGTTTGTACGCATGATCGGAGTGCGGTCTGAACAGGAAATGGAGAGGAAGCTTAATGATCTCTGGATTGGGTCATATAAGGTTCGGGTTAAAGTTGCAGAGGCTAGGAGGAGGCAGATCTCAAGAGTTAGAAGGGCACCGAGGGTCTTAGAGGAAAGAAAACCAGAGCACCGAATGGATAGACTTGTTCAACCTGGTCATTCATATGTGCAAGCAGTAGTGGGGATTCGTCCACAGATTAGGGAGTCTCCTAGTAGTGCAGGGGCATCGCATGAGAAGGTAGGGCAAATTATGGAGAACGAGGCAGTTGGATCTTCAGTGAAGGATGCTGTAGGTCACGGGATGGTGGAGAACATTACTGGGCAGTCTAAGGAAGAGGATATTGAATTTGCACCACTGAAGGAGGAGACCAAATGACTTGAAGGAAGTATGGTTGCTGAGGTGAAATCATTAACATTGATATCTACCATTCAAGCAAGATTAGATGTGGATGGAGGGGTGATTACTTTATTACCATTGGGAGGGCGAAGGGTGCTATTAACTGAACAAGTGACAGGTTGCTTAGTTGATTATACAAAGCAAAATAAAGACTTGTTTGATTTATGGTTTGAGTCGGTACAACCATAGACATTGGCAAATCCAGTAAGTTGTAGATTGGTGTGGCTGCATATTTCTGGGATTCCGCTCAAAGCCTGGTGTGATAGATGTTTCCAAATGTTGGGCGAGTTAGTGGGAGAAGTGGTTCGGATTCATGAAGATACTACAAATAAAATTATCTTGGGTGATGGAAGGGTTTTAATCCTCTGCTCTAAAAAGAGTAAGATTTTCCGAACTGTAAACCTGAAAGTGGAGGACCAGATGTATGAAGTAGGGATGATAGAGGAAGAATGGCGTTCCGATCCCGATTGGTGGTTGTCGAACGGCGATAGGTGGTGTGAGTCAGAAACTGAATCGGAATATTCATTAATGCCTAATGGTAGTGAGGATGCTGACTTGATTCACGTCGCAAAAAGTGGAGGGAATGAGGATATTTTTGATAAGGAGATGTTGGAAAAGGAAGCTGATTCAAATTCAAACGGAGATTTTGTAACGAATGGCAGTGACAGCATGTTATTTGAAACGGAAGATATAAAAGATGGGCATAGTGAGCCTAATGAATGTAATGGGCTGGTAAGGGATAAGCGGATTGGGCTTGATGAGGCCTATGGGCCCGATGCAAAGTTGTCTCCAAAGAAGGCCAGGGACAGTAATGACATATGGCCTGCAGCAGCGCATGAGCATGTCTTGACCCCTGTTCAGAGTCTGGAAAACAGGGGAGCGACGGGCAAAAGGCGGAAGCATATTTTGGAGTGTTATCCGCAAAATTTGGTAGAAATTGGAGACAAGAGCACTCAATGGGTCATGGCGAGGACCAAGCAGAGACAACACAGATGGAAGCAGGCTCAACAAGAGGCACTGATGAAGGTAGGTGAAAGTATTTCTCTTTCGGATGGGTGCATAGTTAATAGAAATCAGGTGATTCAGAGGGAAATGAATTTACTAGAGGTTAGAAGGATGATTAGTGTGGGGAAAAGGTTGGGTGTTAAGATTCAAGGGACTGAAGAGGAGGTTCAGTCCAGATTATTGCAATTAGAAGAACCGGAGGTTGTGAAGGAGCAAGGTAGGAAATAAGCTTGATGTTTGCAGGGATTGGGCAGGTTTATGCATGTTTTTCTTTACAAATATGAAGTTCTTGTCCTTTAATGTTAGGGGATTGGGGGGATTGGTGAAGAGGAAGGAGGTAGGGAGAGTGGTAAGAAAAGAGAAGCTAGATTTCTTATTCTTGCAAGAGACTAAACTGCAGAAAGTGGATGGGAGCGTGTGTAGGGGGTTGTGGTATTCCGATGACTGTGATTGGGTTATGAAGGAGTCAATCGGTGCTTTAGGGGGTTTAATGTGTGTTTGGAATAATGTTAATTTTGTTAAGCTAGGGGAGTTTGCTGGAGATGGTTTTCTGGGCATTGATGGGGTTTGGGGATCAAAAAAGGTGTTATGCCATTTTGTGAATGTGTACACTCCACAGGATAGGTATAAAAAAGTGAGGCTATGGGAGGAGTTGGGTAATATGGTTATGGAAAAGGGAGGTCGCTGGATGATAGCAGGTGATTTTACTGCTGTTAGATGTCCTGAAGAAAGGAGAGGAAGAACTGGAGAATGCCCAGAGATGGAGGAGTTTAATGTTTTTATCGAGACATCAGGATTGGTTGATATCAGATTGACGAATAAACGTTTTACATGGTATCGACCGGATGGTTCTTCTGTGAGTTGGTTGGATAGATTTCTGATGACAGAGGAGATGTATAGTTTGGGGTGTGAGTGGGTGCAACAGGGGTTGAAACGGACTGTATCTGACCACTGTGCTGTTATCTTGAAAACAAGTAATGCAGATTGGGGTCCAAAGCCATTTAGAGTATTAGATGCTTGGCAGTAGCATCCAGATTTTAAAAATGCAATGGAAGGCAAGTGGCGCGAGTTGGAGGTTGAAGGTTATGCAGGCTATCGTTGTAAACAGAAGTTAAAGTTGTTGAAGGAATTTTTAAAGGGATGGAATAGGGATGTGTTCGGGGATGTGGAGGCCCAACTTGCAAAGGCAACAGCAATGGTAGAAAAGATTGACAAGAGGAATGAAGATTTTGAGTTGGAAGAGTTTGAGGTGAGCCAACGACAAGAAGGAGTTCAAGAAATATGGGATGTTTTGAGCAAAAAGGAAGCTATATGGAGGCAAAAATCAAGATGTAATTGGGCGCAGTTGGGAGATGTGAACACCAGATTTTTTCACAATACTGCCAATGGTAAGAGGGCTCAGAATAATATACTGGGGCTCTCGTGCGATGGTAGATGGGTGGAGGAGCCTAAATTGGTTAAGAGGGAGGTAGCCAAATATTTCTCTGCTTTGTTTCAATGTGAATGTTGACGTACCAAAATGGATGGAGTCGCCATCTATCCAAATGAGGTGGGATAGATTACCAAAGTCTACGCAGAAATTGACTAGGCTTGGAGGGTCGATTAAGCATGGGGAAGGTGTTAGGCACCTCACAACTTCCAAGTAATATGGTTACCACATACTTTAATTTTGGAGACTTTTCAATTTTATATAACAAAATAATAATAATAACTACCCAAGAACATAAAATAAAATAAAAAAACAAAAAAACAAAAACTTTAAAACCCCATTATTGTCTTTTTCCATCCCCTTTTTTTTTTTATTTTGTTGCTTTTTTTTTATTTATCAATAATAGCTACCACCCAAGAACATAAAATAAAATAAAAAACATAAAAAACAAAAACTTCAAAACCCTATTATTGTCTTTTTCTGTCCCCTTTTTTTTATTTATTTATTTTTTTTATTCATCAATGATAGCTACCAAAAAAAAAATCACTTTAGAAAAATTAAACAAATACTGCTCATCATCATTTACCTTTTTCTCGTTCCTGTTTCTTTTGTTTCTTTATATATATATATATATATATATAT